AAAAAAAAAAAAAAAAAAGGCATAGTCAATTAGTACAAAACTGTTAAACTTATAAACTTGTAACTAATACAAAGTAACTATTATAGAATATATAGGACTTCATAATGAACAAATAATATAAAAACTTTCAATAATTAATATAAAAATACTGTCATATGTAACAAGTAATAATTATACTATTTGTATTTACATTATTTACTATAGAAAATAGAATGACTTCTCTTTTTATTTTGCTCTTTCGGTACTCATAAGGAACCCCTGACTATCAAACACCAAATCAACAAATATTTGCAGCATGTCTCTAACACGGTATGAAGCACTCCAAAAAAATGGAAAAAGGCAAAACACACACACACTATGGTCCGTGTCCTAGAATAGTTTACGATTCTGAGAAAATACCATCATGTAAATATGGGAATATAACTGATAAACCATGCAGGATCAAATTTAAAAAAAGAACTCAAAGAAGGCTGTCTGGAACTAGAAGAAAAAGTGGACAAATTTTAAAAGGACTGTCCAAATTATTCCAGGATCAGAATACTAAAGTTGTCATAATCATTAAATCTAGTTTACTAGATATAGAAAGCTGAGGGGCGCCTGGGTGGCGCAGTCGGTTAAGCGTCCGACTTCAGCCAGGTCACGATTTCGCGGTCCGTGAGTTCGAGCCCCGCGTCAGGCTCTGGGCTGATGGCTCAGAGCCTGGAGCCTGTTTCCGATTCTGTGTCTCCCTCTCTCTCTGCCTCTCCCCCGTTCATGCTCTGTCTCTCTCTGTCCCAAAAATAAATAAACGTTGAAAAAAAAAAAAAAGATATAGAAAGCTGATGCCAAAATAGTTAAATTACATATTACAAGTCATATTACTAGCAAATAGCAGATCTGAGTCTCAGGGAAATATTTTTTTTTTTTTTTTTTTTTTTTTTTTTTTTTTTTTTTTTAAGTAAACACTACACCAATGTGGGGCTTGAACTCATGACCCTGAGGTCAAGAATCACATGTTCTACCAATTGAGCCAGCCAGGCTCCCCAGAGGAATAATTATTTCTTAAAGCACAGTATAAAAAAATGCAAATACATTTTTCTATCAAGCAAGCGGCAACTCTATCACTCTGTTGTCAAGATGTTTAGTTGCTTTGAAGAAGTCTCAGTTCGATGAGAAATTTGGATCTAGTTTAAGAATTCAGTGGTTTATTGAAATATTTATGGATGAAAAAATGTTATCTGAATTACTTCAAAATAATCCAGTGGGAAGAGGGGGTACAAATGAGAGACTGAAGAGTAGGTAACAGGGGGTGATGGGTACGTGGGGTTTATTATACTATTCTACTTTTGTATATGCTTGAAGTTTTTCATAATAAATTTTAGTTACTTTTTTTTGAGAGTGAGCATGCAAGCAGGGGAGGGGGGAGAGAGAGAGAGTGAGAGAGAATCCTAAGCAGGCTCCATGCCCAGCACGGAGCCTAACACGGGGCTCAATCTCACGACCATGAGACCATGACTTGAGCGAAATCAAGAGTTGGACACTTAACTGAGCCATCCAGGCACTCTTCATAATAAAATTTTTAAAAGTTTTAGATATTAGAGCCCAAAAGAATGGGAAATAAATCAAATTAGAGGAATTAAAAAAATAATGGTTTGTTGTATATATAAAAGTACTGAAAACAATAAGGTACACTGAAATGATCCTGATACAAAAATTTGTTTTGTAACAACAAGAATAATTAACAGTGATGCAAAACTGCATGAATAAAACCACAGGCATTTCTGCAACTCCTGTGAAGTAAGGAAGAAATGCTTCTGCTAGATCAGGATTCAAATCCCAGCTACTTACAAGCTGAATTTATTACTTTGGGCAAATTACTTCATTTCTCTGAGTAGGATTTCTAAAAAACATAGATTTAATACCTGCCCCCTAAGATTTTTGTGAGAATTAAATAAAATAGCATTATGCAAATGCTTAGTACAGTGCCTGGCACAAGTAGGTGCTCAATAAATGGTAGATATAAATCTTATTACTAAAAAACAGAAAAATAATGACAACTATACTGCTGGAGAGACTTTCAATTCTTGGTGGAACAGGTCTTAAGACCATTAAAAACTTAATGGTCTTCAGAGTCTCACAATGCCTAACTGTAGTGCTTCTCACAAACTCAATGTTCACTGAACTACGTGACTCAACTTCACACTAAACCGCTGCAAAATACCCAACACAGCTAACCCTGGTTGGAAAGAGTGCTCTGAAGTCGGGTGTTTGACCTATCCTTGCAACATCAAGTGATGAAGACCTTTCTTACATCAGTGCGAAAGTCTACACTGAATAGAGGAGAAGGTGGTGTTGGTGACTGTGTTGCCACAGGAAGAGTTGAAGAGACAAGAGGTGCTTTCTGAGTGTGGTACTGTGCCCACTGCTCTGGCTTTCTTCTTATCTGCTCCTCGCAACTGGTCTTCAAATGACCACAAGGTTCCTAAGGGGGGATAAAAGAAACAATCTTAATCATCTAGGGAGCAGTAAATAAACTTGTCTATTTCCTGTGGAAATAACGTAAACAGTTTATTATATTGTTGGGACAAAAAAATACAGCAGGGAAGTCACCTTAGCCTATTCTCCACACATTTAAATGAAAGGATTAATGTTTAGTCAAGTGAGCACTCAGTTTTCTGGTTTAGAGAAGTCATTTGTATCTATGTGGGGATATTGAAAATAGGCCCTGTCCTTGTATTTTGGAGATTTCTCTATACCTTCCCATCAGTTTCCTATCCAAGCATAACATTTATTGAGCATTAATATGTATCAGGTCCAGTTCCAAGGGCTTTGTTTTTCTGATTTAATCCTCACAACAGCCTTATGAGGTAGGTACCATTATTGCCACCAAACATGAAAAACCTGACGTACAGAACATATAGTAACTTCTGTAAGTCACACAATTTCTAACTGGAGGAGCTAGAAACCCATACCTGGGTGATAGGACACCAAGTCTGACAGTGGGCTCTTTACCCACTACACTACAGTAGCAGTCCTATTTCCACTGTCACTTACCCTTGGTAAAGGCACACTTGTCCTTGGCTCACTTGGTGGCTGGCAAGCCACTGAATAGTACCCATCTAATGAGTTATATCTTTCCCGCAAAGACGTCTGATAAACAGACGAGTGCATCACATCCATTGGAGGTAAAGAATTACTTCTAATAATGTCATCTCGTTGGTACATAGGTGGGCGCCAGATGCGCCTGCTGTCGTACACAGGAGCATACATTCCAGAAGGTACTGGCGGAACTGGTCCATACGGCTGTGGAGGAGGAGGTTGGTAAGGAGAAGAATTCATTCGATCTCGAGGGGAAAATGTACTGTAATGATCGGCATATGGCATAGAAGCAGGTGGGAGGGAGGACTCTGGAACATTATTGGATCTCACAAAGCGAGGAACACAGGGAGCCACACCAGCTGGTACCGTTGGAGGTGGTGGGTAGTATCCTTAAAAATTAGAAAAAGGAATATTTAATGTAATCTTAGTAAAATCCAACATTGTACAATGATTTAACTCTAAACCAGCTTTTAATGTGGGAAAAGAAAATAAACTTTGAACCTTAGTTACTCCTGCCTTAGACAGACACTACACTACTATATGAACTCCTATGTTAAACTGCTCCTCAAAAACACAAGACAGGCTATTAAGAGATGGCTGGTAAGTTTCCTTCTAGGGCATCTACTGCCACAGGTTTTGGATTAAGTAATCAGTTACATTATTGATTCATAGCTTTGGGGGAGCAGAGGTAAAAACCCCTTTCAAAATCTATATAAGTTGTGTACTGTCTTTCCAAAATTATACATTAAGTATATATAAACCAAACATTCCACAAACTATTTCAAGGGATTCACAGAACTCCCTGAAGCTCATCCATGGACTCTATATTTGACGTAAAGGAAGGAGAATCTTAAAACTATTGGCATGCAGAATCATTAATTCTTAGGGCAGGAAGAAAACTTAAGGGTTATATAGTCCAAAAGATTAACTTCTTAATATAGATATTCTAGATATAAGTGATTCACTTATGTATCTAAGGACAATATATATTAGTTTCTTTTTTTTCTTAGAATTGCCTAAAATTACTTACCTGTCTGGGGGTACTGTGGGACTTCGAAGGGTATCGGAGTCCTTGGATCTTGAAAATACTGAATGTTTTCAGAATGCTGAGGATATACTGGTACTCTAGTTATAAATGCGCTGGATTTTGGAGGCACAGAATTCAGCTCTGTTCCAACATTAGAAGGCCCAGCTGAGGTAGCCGCTACATTACTTACAGGAGTCTTGGGTGGAGAGCCAATTTTACTGGAGAGATAATTTATCAAAAACAAAGAATAAATTACTGTCTGTAACTGCTGTCTTCCTCAGTAGGAATTTTTCATAAAATTATATAGTGAAACCACTAATAGAGAAAATTTAGGTATTTCCATAGTGACAAATAATTTCATTGCCACCCTACACTGCTGATTCACAGGATTGTAGTAACAGATCTCATATTCTGGCAAGGGTAAAAAGAATGCAAACAAAGCCCAGGCACTAATGTGATCCATCAATCCCTTTTTACTCATTGTATAAACAAAGATTTTTCCTAGTGGAAATAAAAAAAAAAAAATTTCTATTCAGGGCGCATGGGTGGCTCAGTCGGTTAAGCGTCCGACTTTGGCTCAGGTCATGATCTCACAGCTCGTGGGTTCGAGCCCTGCATCAGGCTCTGTGCTGACAGCTCAGAGCCTGGAGCCTGCTTTGGATTCTCTCTCTCTCTCTCTCTCTCTCTCTCTCTCTCTCCTCTCTCTCTCTCCCTCCTCACTCATGCTCTGTCCCTCTCTTTCTCTCTCTCAAAAATAAACATTTAAAAAAATTTTTAAAAAGTCCCATTCAACAGGTTCACCCTTAAATTTATTGTTCAATAACTACAGTTAACCCTTGAACAACACAGGTTTGAACTGCACGGGTCCATTTATATGCAGACTTTTTTCAATGAATAGTACTGTAAATGTATTTTCTTTTTTAAAATATCTTTTTGTTGTTGTTGTTTTAAGTAAACTCAATCCCCAACGTGAGGCTCAAATTCACATCCCCTAGATCAAGAGTCCCATGCTCTGCGGACTAAACCAGCCAGGGTGCCCCTCCTTGTATTTTATTGATGACCTTTTCTTTTCTCTAGCTAACTTTACAGCAAGAATACGATATACAGTACATACAACCTACAGAATATGTGTTAATTGATAATATGTTATCAGTAAGGCCTCTGGTCAATAGTAGGCTATGAGTAGTTACATTTTGAGGAAGTCAAAAGTGTCCCCTATCCCTGTATTGTTCAAGAGCCACTGTAGTCTACCAGAATTCTCTGGGACAAAGACGACAGACATGTAAAAGAAGGACTGTTCTATTAAGAGATAGATGGATTAAAATGTAAACTCCTTGAGAAAAGGCCATTTTTGTCCATTTTGTTAACTGCTGTCTATCCAAAGTTACATCTAGAAAAGTTAACTGTTACATCTAGAAGAATTCCTGGCATACAGTAGTCATTCAGTAAAAATATCTGTTGAAAAAATGAAATAGTTCCTGCCACATAATAGTCAGAGTGGATGAGTGAAACGCCAATATATTGTTACTCATTCAATTGATGCAAAATAACCAAACTTTTTATCTTTTTTAACCAGGGATTTTCTTTGTTGAGTCACCAGGCAATCAGCTCCAGAGGATCTCACCACGTCTTTCTTATGCCCTACTGAGAAGTCAAACTTTGGCAGAGCTTAAATATGTGGTGACTCCAGAAAAAGAACTTGTTAATGATGCAGGAACTCAATATGTTGCATCCCAAGTAGATTAAAGGGTTTTTCTCAAACTAGAGAAGCCCTTTTAAAGCTAGAATACAAACAAGTATGGGCTGCTTTTAAGTCTAGCACAGCAGATTAGTCTAGCAGATGTTTACTTTTATGTGTAAAATGGAAATAACTAAGGAACTGTGGGTAATAATAGCAGATACAAATTTACTGACTTACAGTTTAAAGATATTTTAGGGCTATATTTATTCTTTGAACTTAAATAAAGGCAACAAGGAAAATAATTAGGATTTCCTTGTAACAGTAATATAACTCTTATCGAGCAATTACTGAGCACATTCCAGGCTCTATGCTACATGCTTTACATAGATCATCTGGTCCTTCCATATCAAAAGGTTATATACTGTCAAATTGGGATAAGTACTTTAAAATGGCAAACTTTAGGGGGCACCTGGGTGGCTCAGTCGGTTTAACGTCCAACTTTGGCTCAGGTCATGATCTTGTGGTTCGTGAGTTTGAGCCCCCACATCAGGCTGTCTGCTGTCAGCAGAGCCCCCTTCAGATACTGTCTCCCCCCACCCATCCCTTCCCCACTCACACTTTTTCTCTCTCTCTCAAAAATAAACATAAAAAGAAATGGCAAATTTTTAGACTTGTCAGCGAAAAGGCATCAAAATCCATGACAAGATTCACAGCCTCACGTGATCATGCAAGCTATCCACAAAAATGAGACTAAGGAAAAAGCTAACCTTCAGCCACATTCCAGACAGACAGCTAGATTACTACAGCTGTAGCCTACATGGCTCTCAGGATTCCAGGCTCTCCTTTGCAGCACCCCTCTCCTGCCTACCTGATTTTGCCAGGGCTGCTTCCTGTCCTGATAAGATCTTTCCTTCCCAACCATCCATACTTTTGGAACTACCTCAGGTCTTCCTGGGCTCATTTTACCTCTAGGGAGTCTTTCATAATAACTCCCTATGGAATATTATTACTTTTTGTGTTCCAATAACACTTGGAACACAACTCCATTATAGTACCTATCAGAACGTATTATATAATATCTGTTTATGTCTGCCTCCAAACCACACTGTAAGACCCTCAGAGGCAGGGAGTAGTATTATTTAGTTCATTTTCATTACTTCTACCTGCTGGCTGGTGTTGGGCACATAGAAGATTCCTAATTTTTGAATGAATTAATGATTTATTTATTTTTTCAAGTTGTTCCCTTAGTCTATAATTAAAAAAAAAATTGGGATAGGATTTACTTTTTAAGGTGTATAATTCAGTGAGTTTTGGTATATTCACAAGGTTGTGCAACAACCATCACCACTACCTCATTCTGAAACACCTTCATCAGCCCTGAGAGAAATCTCTACTCATTAGCATGCACTCCACAGCCCCTGGCAACTACTCATCTACTTTCTGTCTCTCTGGATTTGCCTATTCTGGACACTACCATAAATAGAACTCTGTAATATATGGCCTTTTGTATCTAGCTTCTTTCACTTAACAGTTTCGAGGTTCATCCACATTGACTGTAGTATGTATTAGTATTTACTCTTTTTTTTTTTACGGCTGAATACATTCCACTCGTATGGATATAAAACAGTTCTAGGTTACCTTGCCAAAAACCTTCAAAAGCTCATTTTCTAAACATATATGTAACACAAGGTCTCCATAATCTGGTGCAACCTACCTATCTAATCTTATTTTAACCAGTCCCTAACATAAACTTCCTGTTCTAAAAGGCTGGTCTCTTCAATATTCCAAATAATTACCAACAAATTTGACCCATATTATGCTGTTTCTTTTTCTGAAATCCACCATATTTTTCCCAGCAATATAAAATATTCCTGTTCTTTCATCCAATTCCAATTTTGCTTCATTTGTGTAAATGCTGTCTCCACAACTATACTCTCGTAAGTTTCTTAAAGGAAAAGAGATCTTATACAGTCCTGTATTTTCAAGTGTGACAAGAACATAGCTCAGAATGAATGTTCAAATATCATTTGCTAACTAGACAATGTTCTCTGACATGTCATTTCTAAACATCTCTCCCAGAGAAAACTGTAAGGATCCTCCAATAAACAAATCCTCCTATCATATGCTAACTGCAGAAATAAAGAATATAATTGCTTACCTACCCATTGTTTATTATATGAAATCACTAGCATAATACTTTGTTCCTAGAAGGCATATAATAAATGCTGACCGACTATTCAGGGGCAACAAAATCGGAACATGATTTAACTGAGACCCTAAAACAATACCAAAGCATGAGATTTCTGAGGTGTAAGTAACTCAGATGGTCAGAAAGTTTTAAAACTTTTTTCTTAAAGAACCAAAACTCTTCCTTATGCTGAAACCTGAAAATATTGGTGGTAATAACAACAAGATATTGAGGTACTGTTCAATGCACACTGCAATAGTGATTCACTTAATCTGTGCAACCAACCTGTGTAGTAGTTACTATTACTGTATGAATTTTGTGGATGAGTAAATTGAGGGAGACAGATTAACTAGCCTAAGTTCAAACAGCTAGAAAACAGCGAGCCAGAATTTGAACCCAGGGAGTTTGCCTCCCAAGAGCCCCCTCTTAGCTACTACACATCATTAAAGAATATAGAATAGACTGTTCTGAGTGAAGCAGAAGCTGGAGGCTTAGAATCTCACCTTGCTGAGGTTTCTATTTAGCCCCTTTCTGGTACCCCTCTGTATACGATCCTAAAGTTCAAAGATCTAGTGTGGAAAAAACCCAATTCTGGTCCAAACTCTTCAGTTTACAGTCAAGGAAAACAAAACCCAGAGCTGAATTGACTTTCTAAGGTCACAGAGCTTTTCAACTGCAGAGCCAGGACTAGAACTCAAATTTTGGGGGATTCAAGTGCTTTTTCCACTAGGTGAAGATTATGCATTAAAAATTCTGATTAGTTCCTTTCCCTTAGGATAAATTAAAATAGTCATTTCTCAAAAGGCTGAGTAACTCACAGTAACCATTTTTACCTAATACTTACTTTTCAGTTACAGACTCTGCAGAAGGCCCAGTTGCGTTCTGACCATTAGTGCCAACCTTCCCCACTTTCTTCACAGTCTCCAGAGCTCTTAAAGTACTGTCAGTACTACGTGGGATTAGCTGGGAAACACTGTTTTCTGCATTTGAAATTCCATTTGTACTTGGAACAATTTTCCCCGTTGTTTCAGTACTTCCTATGACAGAAATGACATTTCCGGCTGTGGTTGTGACAGTGTTGTTTACACCAACTTTATTTAGAAGAGGAAATGTTCTTACAGTTGCATTGATCTTTTTGTTCCTTAATCGATACCTGTTTCAAAAACAATCAACATATATTGGTGAATATTGCACTAAATTTACCCTGGAAGGGGGGGGAAAAAAGACAACGGGAAAAGATTTAAATAGGAGGAAATAGCTTTGAAAAAAAGTTTCATCAGCTAAATATCAAATACAGTCTACACCAAACTCTGCTGTTAGATGTCACATGAAAACACACACACACACACACACACACACACACACAC